CTGTTCAGTGTGCTGCTAACATACTTCTGAAAGCACGCGTGGAGCATTCCCTTCACCAAAGAACTACTCTGGTAAGGAAAGAAGCCACATGCTTCAAAAGCTCATGGTAACCGGGGGAGCCTGGGTGGCTCAGTTGGTTGATCATCCAACTTCGGCTCAGGTCACGATCTCATGGTTCATGAGTTCGAGCCCAGTGTTGGGCTCTGTGCTGACAGCTCAGACCCTAGAGCCTGCTTTGGATTCTGTGTCTCCCTCTCTCTCTGCCCCTTCCCTGCTCGTGCTCTGTCTCTATCTCTTTAAAACAAAAAAAAGCTTATGTTAACTGTCTTCCCTTGGCTGGGGAGAACAATGATAGATATTGCAAATAGAACTGAGCTCCCTGATTTAAATGTATGTGTGACCTCAGAGTGGTCTAGGCTCTATGTTAGGAACAAATATCAGGAAGGTGCAATTACCTTAACAAACCATAGGGATGGGGTGATAATCATGATGTTTTGTGCCATAGGGTCCTAGGGCAATGGCTAATCAATTATGGAGTCCCCAAGAATGAAATAAATGGTTAGACTACCAAGCTGCTAACCAACTTATGCAGAAAATGTCTAGGTCTTATGGGCAAAAACTGAACTTGCACAGCCATGGTGGGATTCATGATCTCTTATCCAGTGCCTAGATCTAAGCCTATTGTATTCATAGCCCAAAGTCACATAATTAGATGAAGATAGTCCCTTTTGGAAAAGATCCTGAAACCTGGCCATGGATATATGCTATGAATCTTCTAAGTCATTCCAGAATCACCATGGCCATTTATGATGGTGACTATGCACTAGGAAGAGGGAAATAACAAGTCTTACCACATATTATCAGTTAATGCTATTAGAAATAGCTCTGAGCTGACATTAATCTCTAGAACTCCAAATGCCATTATGGTCCACCAGTTCAAAGCGGGGTGCATATGGAGGTCAAAATAAATATGTAGACTTTACCCAAGTCCATCTTACAGTATTGTGAGAAAAAATAAATTAAGCAATAGGAAGAACTGTGTTTTTTTTTTAAGTTTATTCATTTATTTTGAGAGAGAAATCAGGGAGGGGGCAGAAAAAGAGGGGGAGAGAATAAGAATTGCAAGCAGGCTCCACACTGCCAGCACAGAGCCCAAGTGTAGGGCTCAAATTCACGAACTGTGAGATCATGAGCCAAAATCCAGAGTCAGACACAACCAATTGAGCCACTCAGAAGCCCCATGCAATGGACAGGATTCTTATGTTGGTTCCCTGACCCAGGGCTATTACCAAAAGCTGAGAACAATGCTGTATGGTGCAAATATGAGTCACACGTGTAATTTCAAATTTTCTAGTGGCCACATTTTAAAAAGTTGGTATTAATTTTAAAAGACTTTATTTAGGGGCGCCTGGGTGGCGCAGTCGGTTAAGCGTCCGACTTCAGCCAGGTCACGATCTCGCGGTCCGTGAGTTCGAGCCCCGCGTCGGGCTCTGGGCTGATGGCTCAGAGCCTGGAGCCTGTTTCCGATTCTGTGTCTCCCTCTCTCTCTGCCCCTCCCCTGTTCATGCTCTGTCTCTCTCTGTCCCAAAAATAAATAAACGTTGAAAAAAAAAATTAAAAAAAAAAAAAAAGACTTTATTTAATCAAAAAATCATTTCAACGTTTCATCATCATTTGCCCGCAAGACCTAGACAACCATATTTAGGTGCTTAACAGCCACAAGTAGCTGGTGGATACCATATTGGAGATCATAGCCTTAGACTTATATCTCTCCCAAGACAGTAAACTAAAACTGAAAGATGTTGGGTGGGGATTCCTACACACACTCATTTATACTGTTTATTGGGCTAATGATGGTTATACTGTAAGATGGTTCTGTGGATAAATGTAGACTTAATCACATCAAGAGCCAACTACAGATGCAGTTCTAGCTGTAATACCTTTATTGGCGCATATTAACATAGCCCCTGATACCAGGTATGGAGGTAGTGACTTAACAATTTCTTTGAAAAATAATTCCTTATCAACAAAGATAATCTGAAGCAATGTGCCTTCACATTGCAGGGACAGCATACTTTTATTATCTTAGCTTCAGGCTAGGTCAACTCTCCTCTTTGCTATAATACAGTGCAAAGAAATCTTGTTCATCTTGACATCCCACAGAACATCAAGTTGGAACATTACATTCATGGTACTGACTGGACATGGTGAGCAGGAAGTAGTAAATACCTGAGATGCCTCAGTAAGATATATGCTAGAGAATAGGAGATAATTGCCACAGAAAGCTCAGAGACTAGCAGCATTAGTGAAATGTTATGGGTTTAGTGGTCTACACAAATTGAATTTGATCCTCTGTAATAAATGCAAATGGCTGCACTTTGCACCTGTCATCATGAAGAAGGAGGCATGTTTGGGTATATTGTTCTGATGTATGTGCTAGGTACCCAAAGGAAGAATGTTTCCACCATGGATCAGAGCTCTGAGTCAGTCATATTGGACTACTCCCTGGCTATTTGGGGGCATCTCAAGCTGCTAAAGTAACAGGGAGAGAAGTGGACTATTGGTTGGTAACTTTTCCAGATTACCAAGATGATTTGGGGGTGTTGCTATGTTTGGAACTCAGGAGATTCAATGGGGCACCTCTTTTAAAAAAATGTGCCCAATAATCCTGGTTACTGGAAAACTGCAGTAGTCCCAGGAAAACAGGACCATCAAATACTCAGTATTTGTAGAAATTAAGATTTGGGTCATTCATCAGATAAAGAATCCTGTCTAGCCCAGGTGCTACAAAACAGGGTAAGCTTAAGGGGAAGGTGGAATTGGTAGTAGAATAAGAAAGCTATAATGATCAATTTGAACTTTCTGAACAATTAGAGAAGCATGGACTTTAGCAGCTATGTTTTACACTGTATCTATTATTTAAAAAATGGCAATATTTTAGGTTACAGTTGGAAGTATAACTGAATTCATGTCACCCATTGATGAGGCACTAGCTGGATGACACCCCCCCTCATTACTCCATTAAGCTCTCCTTATTAGCCACTTTGAGTCTGTTTATATATCTACAAAATCATGACTTTGTATACCAATTTGTAAAATCAGTATGATTGCCACTATGGGTCCATGTCTTTATTTTTTTTGAACCTCAAAGAGGCAATATATTTATTTACAGAATATAAGATTTCACAGAAACAGCTTCACTTTACACACACACAATTTATAATTACACAGAACCATGTAAGAAATGTCATGTCTGGCCTGGTAAAAGCCAATGGGAATGGCCTACTTTTGGAGTGACACCTTTTTCATCCCTCACTTCATTAGGCACCAGTCAGGAACCCCTAGATGAGTCATGACTAATTTGCAAAAAGATGCTGATTGAAACTGCCCAGCTCAATAGAAACAAAAACCAAAGTGTCTTCTCAAACACCACCCACAGGGATGGATGTGTTAAAAGAACAAAAAGGATATCAGGGCAACACAAATTAAGGTGAGTATTGAAATCCTTCTTGAGCGCTGAAGGCATTAAACCTTCTAAGGATAATATAGCAATCCCAGGTAAAGTAACATGTGTACATTAAACCATGATTATTAAAAGCAACACAATTTTGTTAAGAATGAAATAGATGCTTAAAGTTGTATTTTTGCTTCAACTTCATGTAACAGCTAATGTTCATGCAAAGCTATGTTTTATATAATCTGTGGTTAGCTCAGTAATACTTTAATAAGCCAGAGTACATGGCTAGCTAAAGGAACTTACTGTCACATCTTAAGAACATTCTTTCAATAAAGAATAATTTTTATAATAAAGATGTAATTTTCATAGCATAATTTAAAATATAAAATGTCATGGTTAGAAATAAGGGAATTGCTATGAGTCAGGGAGGCAAGTAACTATATATACTTAAAATATTTTGTTTTAATGTTTGAATTAATTTCATTTTTCTACAACTGCTCCACATTGACAAGTTAATATCTAAATTAGTTTTATACATTTCACATTCATGTTAAAAAATAAAGCCTTAAGGATTAATAGGAAAAAATGTAAAAATAGATAATACAAGTATTACCTCACAATCCGCAGCACTCTCTAATACAATTTGTCAATGTAGATGAAAATATCACTTCCATCATATCTTCATATTAAAATTAAATTTTAATATGTCATTATGGACAGAAGGATATAAAACTGGCTGGAGAGTACTCTATATTAATTTTCCACCTTTAACTTCTTGGTTATGGCAATTCATGCTAAAAGTCAAATGAGATTCATTCAGATTTCTAATCATTCTTTCTCTTTTATGTACTATATTCTAGCATTTTAAAAATATCACACTTACTCTAGATTTTCTAATGATGATTTATGAAGCAGAGAAATGTTTCAGAGAAAATCCAATGACTGTATTTTGAGAGTTAAAGAAAAAAGGAGCGTTTAAATGAAATATAAAATACTCCACAGCCAATTTGCTAATGAGCATAATATTTTCAAGTTTAAAAATAGTGATGTTTGATTTCCCACTCCCAGACTGGGCACTATATCAGTTGAAAAATATCACAGCTTTCATCTCCTCTATGGTGGTATCAGTATGTAACTATGATATTTTACTAGATTTTCTATTATCCTGGGTTAACCATAATTACAGGATTAATTATACATTAATTTATATATTATAAATTAAATTATTAATTATACTGACTTAATAATTATAAAATTAAAAATCACAGAAAATCCATAGAACACTTGTTTCCTTACTTCAATGGCTTAAAATAAGAGACTTTTCAGTTGACAGTGCTCCTTTTTGCCAAGTCTACGAGTCTAAAAAAGGAAGGGCCATATGCATCTTGCAAGATTTATCAGTTACTCAGTGTACACAAATAAAAATATTGTCTAGATAATTCCTAGCCATATACCAAAGCTATAAGTTACTCTGCATCATTCTTTAACACTTTGCTGAATTCTCGTATTTTAGCTTTCTTCTCAAAGAGTCAGTGACACTTACCAGAGTGGGTCCTGAGGTGTCCTGTGAGGGCGTCCCTTCTTCTACAGGCATAGCTACAAAAAGGACATTTGAACGGCTTCTCTCCAGAGTGTAACTTTATGTGTCTCAAAAGGTTTCCCTTCTGAGTAAAAGAAGCTCCACACTGGTTACAGTGGAAGGGACGTTCACCTGCCAAAACGAAAAGAGGTAGAAAAGATCAAGTAGGTTATACGCAAGTGACCAATTTGCTGTAGACTACTAACTGGTGCTAGGTTCTCTGTGCTGAGAATATTCTCCCCTGTAAGTCTTCTAAACTTTATCTAACTAAAATTTGCTAATACCAAAGCCTTAAACTTCAGGCCAAGCACCGTTCTCTCTCTTTATATAAATTTTACAGGATTCCTGTCACTGACTCAAAAGAATCAGCAATAGCACTGACCACTGATTGAACAACTAAGTGCCACCACTTTACTGACTTTACTAGTTGCTTTACAGAGAATGTTTCAATCCTTATATTTCTAATTAGGTATCTGTAATTTCAATTTACAAATGAAGAACTTGAAGTTCAAGTATCAAAGCATCTGATTATAGGCACAGAGCTAAAAAGTACTCAAACTGATAACTGAATCTTGCTTAGCTGGACAACAAAATCTTGCTCTGTTGTGCCACACTATCTCTTTTAAAGTTACAGAAATTTTAGTTTGGCCTGGAGGGGATCTTTAGTCTAACTCTTTCATTTAGCTGATGATTTATTACCAGGGGGCCAAAAAAGTTCAACGAATGAACCAGGTTAACAAAGCTCATTATCACAAAATCTCTAAAGCTTCACCCAGGCCCCAGGTCTCTCGATTCTCCTAGTCACTAACAGTGAAAGCTTTGGAAAAATTTCTGATATAAACAGTGAAAATCCAAAGAAAATTATTAACCCAGACATTTCCTGTATTAATTTTGTTGTGAAAATAATTTTATAGAAATCCTTTCTCTCTTTTCTCCTATTACTGGATACCACTATAAAACTGTTCAAGCCAGAATTATCAGTTTAGTCTATTGGGTCAACTGGCTGTCACAAATGTCACTGAACATAAAAATGCACAGTTGAGGAAGGAGTAAAATTGGCAAGTACGGTCAAACCATGAAGAAAATGCTATTTTAAGTTTGCCAGTCTCTAAAGATATTCATGAAATAAATTATAAATTAGTACCTAAATAGTACAAAGTAGTAAAGCTCAAAGTTTAGAACAGAAAGTTAAAAAAAAAACAAAAAACAATTCACTTTTGGTTTAACTGTACTATTTCTGTATTTGAGGTTAGATGAAGATTATAATTTTAATACCTAAAAATTTATACTGAATTGTCATGTTTTATATCTTTAACTGAAACATTTGTCAATAGTGAATAAGGAAACCTCAATATTTGGGTGAGACCTTTAATGCAAATTCAGTGATTCTTTTTAGTAAAGAAAGGTAGGAGGCATAAAGAAGATAAACTTTGGCCATTTTCTTGCAGCTGCCACTGCATATTCTATCATATAGATTTGTTATAACACCTAAAGACATTGAGTGATACATCAGGTGTTATCTTAAATTCCTTACTACTTGCTCATTTTGGAACTTTTTATGATATATACCAAGGGAAAAAAATATATATATAATCTGTGTTTGTGTAGCAAGGGTTAAGGTTTTTCTTACAAAATCTGGAGATCTTCTGAGCTAATTTATGAAAAAGTCCTTGTGCTGGTGTGTTAAGTGAAAATAATTTATGTTATGGTTACCTTAAATTTTATCTTATTTCATTTTTTTGGTTCATTTGATAAAACTGACAATTAAATCAATGCTAAATACTGCTTAAAGGAGAAATACTTTACCAAGAAACCTCTTGTATGAAGTCTCACAAACTAATAAAAGTTTTAAAATAAATCTAAAATTGGTACATCTTTACACACACGCACACACACACACACACACAATTTAATTCATTGACATTTTTTTCAATGAAATAGCAGTCCATAGCTTTTTAAAATCAGGATTTTCTACTCCCCACCTCTGCCACAGAATTACTAATAAAAAAGAAAGAGGCAATTTCTCTGTAAAAATTTTTATACCATAGGAAAATAGCAAATGGAAATTATACTTTTCACTCCAAATATTTGATTTTACTTTTGAAATCTCTCTATGTAGGGTCTTCCAGGCAAGTAACAAATCAGTATGCCATAACTTTAAAATGAATTAAATTAGTTTGGTAAACAAAAACATTCGAAATCATGTTTGCCTTTAGAATATACTCCTCAAACATGCTGACTTAGATTTTCATTAAGCCTCTTACAAGTGAAATATTTAAAAATTCCTAATTTAGACTACTGAATTTGTCATTCCAAGTAATACTAATCAAAAAAGAAAAATAAATAAAACAATAACTATCTTTAAAAAGAATTTTAAAATTTATCTAATTGAGTATATGAGACTAATGAATGACAGGATAATTTCATTTTTACATTTACAAAATATTCCAGATATCTTCAAATATTTTTAGTAAGAATTATTTCTAAATTTATATGATCATCCTTAAGGGGGTCAGAGAAATAAAAAGAGGTCTAGGTATATCAGGAAATATTGTCTGTTGCTGAGTATGTAAGTCTTACATGGGAGGCATTTGCTAACTATATTCCATGGACATGGGAAATAAAGAAAGGCATGATGAAGGTAACAAGTCATGTTCCCATTTGTGATAAGAGGAAAAGGGCAATGATAATAATTCACTTTTATTTCAATTGGATGAAGCTTTTAGAAATAATCCGCTTTACATGAATTAAGTCTTGAATTGGGATTATGAGATATGTGGAAAATGATCTGATATTTAAGTAAAAGGTTCACTTAGCTACCCATATTGTGTATTACTTGAAACAACACATCTCAATTATTTTTTAAATAATTTGCTCTTTCTGTAATAATAGACTGAATCAACTAGTCATTTTAGAATTAGTTTAGACTTTGTCTGAAAATATATTAATCATGTTCTTCAGATATAAATAAAAGCAAACTTCAGGAAAATATCACAAATTTACTGAATCACTATACAGTAATTCAATTGAAAAAATCAAGTAGGCTACTGTATCTGTGATAACTAATTCCCCCATGGGGTGGGCACAAAAGTCTGGATTAACAACTCTGAATCCAGGAGAACAATTAATATGTAGCCATGCTATCATTCATTTCCATTCTCAATCTGCTTCTTGTTTTGTTTTTTTGTTTGTTTTTTAATCTAATCTACTCAAGAACCTTTTTGTGGTTATTCCCAGAATGAAGTTATCTATTATCTATTGAAATTATATTTCAATATTTTATATACTTTCATAAACACATATTTCTAGATCTGTGTTTAAATATCCAATTGAAATACAAATATACATGCATCAATTTGCTTTCGTAAATCAAAGAAAGAGGGTGTTCCGTGTTGGATGGAACAACCACCTACAAATATGAAAAATCCCAAGCACCTGTTGAGAGGGCCTTAGAGCAAGAGAATGGTTCCACAAAGCTACAATGTACAAAATAATGTGCTTAAAACTTAAAAGTTACAAAGTTGGGAATACTCTACCCCAAAGAAGGGCAAAGTTAAGGATAGACTGTATTTATAATGTCCGCATCAATTCATGTTTGTGCATGAATTGATTTACTACCCCTACTTCTTCTGCCTATATCCCAGTGAAGAGTGCCTGGAGTATCCGATGACAATATTACCTGATTACCTACTAAAGTAGCAATACCAATGAAATAACACAAAGCCATTTGTAAGACACTGGAATTGGTACTTTAGTAGAGTATGAAAGAGAAAGAAGAAGAAGTGAATTAGATATGATACTCCATGTCATTTTAGTAAACTGGGTGGTTGTGTAGCTTTTTTCACTATCAATTTTATGTTAGATATTCTATGAGCTAAACACACAAACACGTTTCCTAAAGGCTTTCTAAAAATTTAAGACCACACCTTTTATACTAGCTGTAAATAACTGGTAAGAGGGGGAAGGTCTAGAATGAAGACAGTAGTTCATGGTATTAATGAGAAAACATTTGGTTAACGACTAGATCCTGACCACATTTTTTCAATCTAGTTTAAATTAAAATTCACAAATAGACTTTCTGTTCTTGAATAGTATTAAAATGGAGTTGAAAATGTCATGACCCATTCAGATGTATAAACTGAGTCATCAGAAATACATATAAACATAGTAAATGTAAAGATACATCACAATTTTAAGGTCAACAATGTGTGGCAGGTATCCCAAGCTCCTCTAAGAATGGCTATTAACTTTAACAAAAACTTTCCAGATCTGAGGGAAGTATAATGTTTACAATACTCCAATAAACATTTATTAACAATAAAAGTTCACTGAGTTGCAAGAGGACTTTAAATAGCTATTTTGCCCATTCTCCTTGCCTTTGATAGTTGAGTGAATCCCATATTCATAGACCTTCCAGAAATCTGTATAACTAAAAACATTTTCCATGTCAATTTCAGGATTTTCAGAATCAAAATAATTCAATGCTGCTATAGTAGTAAAGATCAAATGAACAGTAGAGTAGGTATGAAACTACTTTTGTGTTTACAAACCAACAATCCTCATGACAATCACTGCAGATACAGTGAAACATTGATTAACCTAAATACTCAATAGAGCATACTCAGGTTCTTTCAATTTCCTTGACTCAGACCATAAAAGGTTTATTAGAAATCTTACAAAAAAGTTGTCAGTGTACTTTTCAGCCTTAAAATGCACACTATATGCAATTCAAATGAAAAGTCATTATACTAATTTTGTTTATATGTTGCTAGAAGGGGAAAGTTACACATTTGAATGGGTGTTATCTTCCTCAATATAATCACTGTGAGATAATGAATACATAATAACTGTGTAGAACTCTTCTTTTAGAACTGCAATTAACATTACTTAATGAGCATAGAAGAAAAGAAGAGTCATTATTTTATAGACTTTTCATATTTTTATTATCAAATATCAAACCTGATCTTTTAACTTTCCTAGGAGAATTTTTTTTAATTGAATGTTTATTTATTTTTGAGAGAGAGACAGAGTGCAAGCAGGGGAGGGGCAGAGGGAAAGGGAGACACAGAATCTGAAGCAGGCTCCAGGCTCTGAGTCATCAGCACAGAGCCCAATGTGGGGCTTGAACTCATGAACCGCAAGATCATGACCTGAGCCAAAGTTGGATTAACTGACAGGGCCACACAGGCACCCTGGGAAGAAATTTTTTTCAATTAAGGTAAAAAACATTTGTACTAGTAATATAAATATTTTTAAAATATGCTGTTTAAAAAGGAAATTAAAATCAAAGCAAAAACTAAACATGTAACTGTATAGTTGGAATAAGGGTACAGGTTCCAAAGCTGATGATTTTGATTAAGATAACACTGATTTTAATGTGTAACTTCTTACTATAAATTTTAAGATATCAGCCTTAGGGTCATATCTCATCAGAAAATGTTGGTGCATTGAAGATACTGAGCTTGGTATATTTGAACAAAACCAGTCTGGGCATCAGGAAACCTTGGTTCTAGCGTCATAACCACATAAGAGATAATGGACAAATCATTTGACTATTTGGGGCTTCACTTTCTTCATGTGTAAATGAGAGATTTGGACTAGAAAGACTTCAGTGTATCTTGTATCTTTCATATTTTAAGCAGCTACTAATTAAATTGATTACTTAGAAGTAAATCTTTTAAACCAACTTCATTATGATTTATGTCTCTTCCAAAGAGTACCATATTTAAAAATTCTAAGTATTAGTGATTAATATTTTGCTATATAATACTACTTGGCATTATAGCTAAAGGTATCATTATCTTTATATCAATTTTCATATGAACTTAAAACTTTTTTAAGAGTTAACTGCTTTTCTTAACATAATCCCATTTTTTTAATTAAAATTTTTTTCATTTTGCCAAAGAATTTATAGAGAGATTTAAATAAAGACTTCTCCTCATTTAGCTGTCTTTTACATTACACAAATGTCAAAAAGTATATATTAAATTAATCTGAGGTCTCTTTCCTTACCCTATTCCATGAGTGCACATTCCTGCCAGCATACTCACCACTCTAGCTATACTATACTACACCCTACATATCTCTTCACAGGAGCTATAATAAAAAAAGTATCACAGGAAGATGGTAACACCTTGAACTAGGGAAAGTATCTCCCTAATACAGAGACCCATGGTAGGCAAAGATTGATTGGAAATTGTATTCCAAGAAGTTAACCAGATAAGGTGAAAATGATCCACCTCTATATAAATGCATGAGTACCATTTTATAGTATAAACTCTTAGCTAGCAAACTATATTACCTGCCCATGGGTATGGTAAAATATGTATAGAAATACAAAAAGATTAAGTTACACAATGAGATTCTCCTATACCTTTTGAACCCTTATCATATTATTGCTATATTAAGAACTGTGGAAACTGAATCCCAAACTTCTTTTCTGATATGCTATTCAGATTTGAAGGCTGGAAGTCAAGACCCAGGCTACTCTCTGCTTTTCAGCAATCCAATACTAGCAGAATTCTGAAAAGGTAGTTTCACCACTGCCACCCCTGAATAAAAAGGAAAGAGAATAGATGTCAGGTAATATCAACATCAGATGTCACAGGCAGTCATCAGGTTATTCTTTCAGCTGCTTACCAGTGTGACTCCTTTTATGTACCATAAGCACATTGGGCCCAATGCAAACCATGCCACAGACGTCACATTTCAGTTTACCATTCGGAAGCCGGATTCCTCCCTCGCCTTGAAGCTCCTGGACTTTCCTGTTGTCAGCCACCTCGCTGCTCTCAATTAGGGGTTCTTCTAGGCCGCTACCTTCATCATGGCCCCTGATCTCATCTTCACGGCTCAGGGGTTTCCTGTCACATTCTTCATCACTCTGCATTTCTAGTTTTACTGAATTTGCTGTAATTAGAGAGAGAGAGAGAGAGAGAGAAATGAAGACATTTAAAATGCAGGTTATGTGTTGTTATCTACACTGCTTCTCCACCCAGTACCATTATATTAACATGGATGGAGATGTTGCATGTGCCAACACCAATGCAATGTCCACACATACTGTGCTCTAAGATATTTTAGTGACTTTAGCATGACAGTAAAGATGGTTCAGAAAAGCTCTAGGTAAACAGAATGACACTTTATTTCTGCATATATTTCTTTCTTTAACTTATATATTTTTTAAGCAAGTCTTGAATTCTGGTATTGGCTTTTGAGTTTGTTACTTTTTGAGACTCAGATAGGATTCTGCAAGAAACAAGATGAGATATTGCTTAACCCCCTGAGCCATGCAGTCAGCCTTTTCTTAATTTAACAATCATATGATTGTATGAATATACTTCACATTAGGTTTCACATCAGAGTACTTGTGTAAACCTGCTTCAGAACTGAGTAAGAGAAACTACTTGGGATCTTAAGCAAATGTCTTAGATGTATGAAGGCATACTGTCAAGGCAAGTATCTTAAAATGAGACTGAAAACATATATTCAATGAGGAGCTATAGAAATGTAAGGCAGAGTGCACAGACCTCACATGCTTGTAAGCTACTTTTTTTATGTAAACAAAAAGTTCTCCGTGGAACATATTAGTCTGCAAATCAAAGTATTCCAAATTTAATCTATGCACACTAAAAAGCAGTGAATGACAGGAATGGCATAGCGTGCATGCACACACTTGTGACTGTTAAGAAATTTAATGCCTTCTGTTTGCTGTTTTTGGATCATCCCACAGAAAAGTTGGAATTTTGTTAGCACAGCCCTCATTCTGGATTGCTGACAAAGTCTTTTCACAAAGCAGAAACAGGCTTTAAATGAATACCAGTTTTGTTTTGTTTTGTTTTGTTATCCAGTGATCTTGAAAATTTCTAAAGAAATCATATCAGCGTTCCTGAGCAAAACAAATTATTTGGTACTACTTGAATGGAGGAAATACATTCATAAAAAGGAAGTAAGTTCTTTTTACTGCAGCTTTCTTAGAGAAACCACATATTCTGTGATTTGTTATTAGTACTTTAAACAGGTAGTGCTACCAAAATGGCTCTTCCCCTGCTCCCCTCCTTGGAACTCCCCTAAGAACAGAGGCAGCATGGTGCAAAATGAGATCACTGCGTTTAATCCAAAGACCATAGCTCTAGGACTGGCTTCGACACTTATTAGCAGTATAATCTTGAACTGAATATGTAACCTCTGAATCTGCTGTCTTTTGTTTGCAAACTACAAATGAATTCAAACTTCAAAATGAAGTTTAAGTAGAATAGTTTAGCTAGTAAGAGTAAGGATCCTATAACCAGACTGCCTGGATTTGAATACAGGCTCTGGCACTCACTATAAGCAGTGTCGCCTTCTGCATGATACTTGAATTCTCTATGTACTCTACAAAATGAGGATGGTAATGGTAGCCACTTTCTCAGGCTGATGTGAACATTACGTGAACAAATACAGAAAATGGGCTTAACTATTATTCTTCTGGTGAAAGATAATGCTCTGTTTATTCCATAAAGTTTGTGAAGATCAATTATAGCATGTAAACTACTCTGAGATCTACAAAAGATTTTATAGACTTCTTGGCCCCATCTCTAACAGAAAATCTACTACATTGAGTTTTACCCTATTTACAAATCAGTAGTACTTTACTGGTTTTTGAGAAGGGTAGAGACATTATTTCGTCCATCTTAATATCCCCAACATGCTCAAAAAACGTGTGGCATCTAAGAGGTTTTCAGGCAGTACCCACTGAGATGTTTTAGTAAGTTAAGATTTTTTTTAGAATTGTTTTATATGTTTAAAAAATACATGAATATAGTAGAGAAAAATTAAAGGATAAAAAATGAAAATTATATCCTTTTCTCTCCAAAATTCACCATCCCATTATATTCTCAAAAGCAACCATTATCCTTATTTTCTAATTCGGAAGTATAGGGGTGTGTGTGTGTGTATGTGTTTGTAGATGATAGTCTTTTTACACAAACTGGAGTGTACAATTTACCTAAACTTAACTGTGCTTTCTTCATTTAATAATATCTGTTTAATTTTTCCATATTAGTACACAGAAATGCACAGTGTTCTTTTTAATGTCTGCATAGAATCTATTTTATCAATATAATTTATTCCTAGGCTCTACTGTTAGAAGTTTAAGATGGTTTATTGCTAGTATAGACATTATTATATAATATCACATTGAACTGTCAATCTGATAGATAAAAACTGGTATTTTACCATAGATTTTAATCTGTATTTTTTTTAAAGTTGGAGTTGAGCATCTATAGACATACATGTTTAAATGTTTGGAGTTTTTTGGGGATTTGTCTATGAAAGTTCTTTGCCCATTTTTCTACTTGGTTGTTGGTCTACGCTCACTGAATTTAAATGCTTTATATATACAAAGGAACTCAGCCCCATGTGTTATATTTTTGCAAAAATACTGGTTAATCTCATTACTCAAGGGTATCTTGGGAGCATATACACTAACTTTACATTTTGATTTTTTAAAGTTTTCAATTATGATTTCTAGATTCTGTATTTTGCTTCAATAAGTTTTTCCATATTCAAGAAATTTTTCCATGATTTTTCCCCCTGGGAACAAAGGTTATTCTAATCAAAGTAAAACACTAATTTTTGCCCTATGTAGTCCCATATAACTCCCACTTAAAGAAAAAGTTAAGAAAATAAATGAAGAGTATGACTTTATATAGCATGACTTCATATTCCAATCTGTGAGCAAATTGTCCCACATGTTTAAGTGATGTACTAAAGGTTATAAACTGCACAGCAATGCCATCATTCATATTCCTGAACTGGTCAACATCTGATCAGCTACATTTAATGAGTGTAAAGTCTACCAACATTCCATTTCAAGACTGAAGAAATGTACCTTAAAGTGTAGGTCTGAGGGGCGCCTGGGTGGCTCAGTTGGTTAAGCGGCCGACTTTGGCTCAGGTCACGATCTCACAGTCCGTGAGTTAGAGCCCCACTCAGACCCTGGAGCCTGCTTTGGATTCTCTGTCTCCCTCTCTCTCTGCCCCTCCCCACTTGCACTCTGCCTGCCTCCCTCTCTCTCTCTCTCTCTAAAATAAATAAAACATTTAAAAAAATGAGAGATGGAAAAAATATTACTATTTCTTTAAAAAAAAAGTGTAGGTCTGAGTCTGAAAATATGGGCCTCTTAAATTTCAAAACAGCACAGAATTATGAAGAATATGACTTGATATTATATTATCTTTTCCCTTAATAATATTATAATACATACATCAAAACATAATACCAAACATGGATAAAATGTCATTAAAAATTATTGTATATTAAAGTTATAGTTAGAACTTTGTCTACAGAGGAATATAATTGAATATTCAAAAAAGCATACATTTGTTACAACTAAATTACAGAAGAAATGGTAAACCCTAGCAATCTTTTCTCTAGCAGTCTTATACTCTAAGGGATTATATCATGTATGAATGTATACACTACTGCTATAGTAAATACAGTAATTTACATTCATTGATATAGTAAGTCAATAAATGCAGCACATTTTAATATATACATATCAGATTAAATTTTATATACCTATGTTGGCCTAAGTACAAACAAAATCCCATCCTAACTAATATTTAGTCTGCCCTACTAAAATTAGGTTGAAATTTAGGATAAAAAGCAATTAAAATAGGCTTTGAATTTTAATTGTTGAATAGAAAAATTTCCTTACTCAAAGAATATAAAATAAATTTCCCTACAAATTTTTTTTCTATTTAAGATGTTTCCAATTAATGCAAGACACTACATTTTAAGTCATTAATGATTAAATTCATGTGTTCAGTAAACTTATATACACCCTAAATTACAATTTATGTATCAATGAAAGATATATGATTATTTATAGCTATAATATATAAAGCTATTATAACTATTAAGCATTGTATAATACTCATAGTACATTTGTTATCAAATCTTTGAAATTAAATTTTTATGCTTCATTATATGGTATTTCTTTTATAATTTGGTAACAGGAAGATAATTTCTATGAAGATGAGAATCTGTTACTGTGAGCAAAATGATATCTCATTACAAATCTCAACACCAAGAATTATTTTTCAAGCTCGTTTCCTTGCTATACCTGAGTTTTACATTCTTAGTATCTATAGGAATTTATACACATTGTTCTATAATGACAAACAGTAGCTGCTTAGTAAGAACAATATTTTGTCAGAACAAATTATTAGCAATGAAAGGGATGTGAAATAAGATTTTAATTATTTGATCAATTCATTCATTGTCATTCAATACTGTAGTCACAAATAACTATAATATATAGATACTTCAAAATAGTCAATGAACAAAATAAAGATGCTTAATATATGCATCTTTTTTTCTTAAGTTAAAGGAGATGATTTACAGTTTAAAAAAGGAAATGTCAAATTTTACAGCATTAATGATCATGAAAACGTTAATCATGATTTTTTTTTAGTAGACTCAGAGGTTTATGAACACAGGTCAAACAATAGTCAATAAAAATATTTTTATGTTCAATTTTATGTAGAAGAAGCTCTGAATGTATTTCAGGACAAAAAGTACCACATACATCTTTATGCAAAAAGTTGCTTCAAAATGCAAACTCCCTCCTCTTCTTTATGATTTTAAAGTACTATTGAACTTCAGAATATAGCTTATAGATGCTACAAAAACACACAATTTAATTGCCTCCAATTACAGATGATCACAGCAATGCAGAGAAGTAAAGAGACTTACGCAGGGGCTTATAAGTGACTCCCAGGCTAAACAATTTTCAATTATAAAAGTTTCTTCAGTAACCATACTAGGCTCTCTACACTCAAAAGCTTCATAATTATCTTTGTTTCAAGATACATAATAGTGAATGATAAAGTTACACTAAACTTGCCTTTAATTCACTAATAGGG